TAGTATTTTATTTTTTTATTTAGTTATGAATCTCTTTTTGTTCCGTGTATAAAAAAAAAAAACAACTTTATAAGTTCTCCTTGATTTGAAAACATTGGTTCACACAGCAGTACTTTATAAAACTTCAACCACTGATATAAATACTTTTTAACAACCTGGCATAACATTTTCTTTTACCAGAAACTAGCTGAATATTTTGTCGCCCCAAACAGACTTTCTGACTTATTCCTAAATTAGTCACTTATTTCTAGATCTTCTACAAATCGGTTGGTTTGTTTCCGATTGTATTCAGTTGTCGCTTTATTTGGCTTGGTGTGGATGTGCAGGTTGGGCATCCTTAATGCAGTATAATTACCTGACTAAGCAGGACTGGCAAACCAGTGGGAAAGAACTGTCTACACAAACACACACACACTCACTGGAGGTACTCTATTGACAAGATAGTTAGCGTATTCAGCTCTCCACTTTCAGAAAGATCACCATCTTTGTAGTCAGATGTATATAAGCTATTAAGAACTTAATGGATTGGGTTTGGAAGAACCTTTTTTTTGTTGAAGTCTGGGGTTTGCAGACTCCCGAAAGCCTTGTGTAAGTACGTGATTGTTAGTTGTTATTTTCCCAGTGAAAGAGTTTTCTTTTATACACACAGTGTGAGCATTTGATGAGAAATTGAGCGGCTTTGAGCAAATACATCTTTAGAAACAGTCAACTAGCCTCGGGCTCTGGCTGGTGAGAGATTTCCATATCAAAGCTCAGGTGAGAGAGGGAGACGGGGAAGGCAGAGAGAGGAAGGAAAAGAGGCAATATAGAGGAGAGAAAATGGTAAGGGGGAGGTGATGAAACAGACATCCACTCAAAAAGATTTCTAGCCCTTGTTATTCTATTGCTTTTTTGTGCAGCACAGTTTAGTCTGTGTGTGTCAGCGCTGTCTGTCTCAATCTAAACTCCTGCATTTAAAAAAAACACACACACACACAGAGGGGAGGCTGGCAAGACTCAAATACAAACCAACACCTCTCTCTCTCTACTCAATACCACACAACTCCTGTCTCTACAACCTTATGCTGACTGGTACTGACCACAGAGACGCTGTGTGGAGCATAAAATGGTTTTCTCCCACTAATACCGTGTAACATCTGACCTGTGAGCTTCTGCCAATATTTGGATCCCTGTTTAATATTATTATTGAAGCATAAAACCATCATTTTCCCTGGAAATATTTCTCTTCTTTAGCTATAAGTATCAGATCTGACCCCATGGAATTGATGGTAACACTCTAATTAATGGATAGAGTTTTCATTTTGCGCTTTCAAAGATGTGTGTGTGTGTGTGTGTGTGTGTGTGTATGTGTGTGTGTGTGTATGTGTGTGTGTGTGTGCGTATGCGTGCATTTCTGACGAACATTATCCTGCTTTGTAGAGTTTTGTAATCCAGCCATGGACTCAGGGTAGAGTGCTAAAGTGCTGCTAACAAGACCTGTTTAACATTCTCTCCCCTGCTCAACATACAATTATTCCACTTCGCTGCCATTAACATGTATAGTAGGACTGGGCTTTTAATTGGCCTGATATGACTAATGCCAGATCAACTTGGATTTGCTAATTAGTTTTTGCTTTAAAAGTGCCATCAGGACATGAAATATTCATTGATGTGAGGTGGAGCGAGGACTGTGGGTGGTATTAGTGGGATATTAGTGGTAT